GGTGCCTTTCATTCCGAGGTGCTGGAGAACACTTGTAATGTGCAGAGAGGCTTCCATGCCCACACCTTGCTACGCAGGAGCAAGGAAAGGATCAGCACGCGATGGGCTGCGCTTGCGGGCAGGATTAAGTCATCAATCCCTCTTAATCATCTTCCAAATTACACAAATAACAACACTTATTCAGTGAAATGGTGTCCACATTCAACCTCCTCCCAAGACAGCGCTGCTGAAGAGGCACCACACAATCTAGAGGGAAAATCACAAGCAGGGACACGTGTCCTACAGGAGCTCCTTGCCGGAACCTGGCAGTGGCAGAGAAAAGAAAGGAATTTTTAAATATTGGGAATACTGACCAAGAGGTTGGAATCCGAAGTGGGAATTCAAGTGGCATCCTCTCTATTAAAATAACAACTTTTTTTAATCTAGTCATTAACTGATTCTTTGGCATGTTCACATTTGGGAGCTTAGTCCTCTAGTTAAGCATCTGATTAATTTTTTAAACAGGCATAAACTTAATGAACGAGGACTCTAAGCAAATCTCTATTAGTATTCAAAAATGACACAGAGAAAGGTTTCCTCCTATAGATAAAAGCTTTTGCTTCAGCATAAATTAACTATCCCTATTATTTTTCAAAATTAACCCTCTACTTGAAAAATAAAAAATTATATTATTTCAAAAAGGCAAATTACACAGAAGAAATTAAACCCAGGTCATAAAGTTCCTCTACAACTGTTTTTTTCTTCCTGATCTTGGATCTGTTTCTACTTGCAACATTTTTCTGGCTTATTAAAGGTTTATAATTGAAACAGATAGAAATGCCTATTACAAAGGGCAGCAATTATTAACTGCTGTGAAAATAAACTGGCTAGTGTCTAACTTACGAAACACAGCAGATGGCCAAGCAGGGGCTGCTGGAACAATGAACGCAAAAGATTTTGCTGCTCACTTTGCTTCTCCGTCCCAAAGAACATAATCAACAGACTCTGTCAGCACTTCACAAGTGCATTTCAACTGCACTGAGAAACTTGCCCTGGAAAAGGATATATATTCAATTATGAAGGCCAGAAATTGACATTTTGAAATGTTATGCCCAAATCTTCTTGGTCTAAACTTGCCCTTTGAACAAACTTGTATTCACGAAGACCCTTGGTACTATTTGATATTTTTTTCAGCTGCAAATGAGAACACAGTCCCTTACTGCTGTCTCCCCAAAGTTCTAATACACAGCAAAGTCACTTAAAATGGCAGGAATTCAACAAAATTTCAAATATAGATTTCAAATATAGATAGAAAAGTAAATAAAAAAGAGGAAATGCTGATTCTGTAGGTTTTCCTTGATACTAAGAAATTTCAGAATACTTATTTCAGAAACAGCCAGCAATACTCACCATCCATTGCTTCATTTTCTTGGAATTGCAGTGACAAATGATATTACTATTTGCTCAAAAGAAAGACATCCTGAACAAAGCCAACCACTAACAGGTAAGGAAAAGAGAAACCTGAGAGCCAAAAGGGAAAGAGCAGGTCACTCTATTGGTTTCTTTTCTTAAACATGAACTACCTTTAATTAAAGAAGGATCAATTTACACAATAAACAGTGACAGAAGTACAGCTGGACTGGCCTTAGGTGCGCTACTAGATTGGTTACCGTGGGGAAGGAAGGTGGCTCTGTGGCCAGATACACATATATGTGCTACCATTTCATCTGGGCCAAGCTCTGAACATTAATTCAGACTAAGATGCTGAAGTTTCAATATTTTGATGCTTGATGAAGCTTGTATAACCTACCAATAACCAAATTTTCCCCCTGCTACTGGTGCTAACAGAACTTGAATAAGAAGTTCCAGATAAGAAATAGTTCTTGCAGAGTAATTCTGGATCAGTGGTTCTACAAAAAAGCATGTATTTTGATCTTGATAATCATTTCCAAGACCATCAATTCACCAGTACTGTTCACCTCCACCACAGAAAAAACTCTAAGCACACTTTTGAACATTAAATACACGTAAGATAAATATATGAGCAGTTGGAGCAGCCAACCTCAGTTTACATCCATCCAACAGAACTTAGATGATTTGCAAAATTAAAAGCTCCATAACGTGAATCATACATACAGCTATGTCTAGATAGCCCTCTGTATATTCTGGACAAAGGCTACATAAAAAAAAAAAAAGAGCAAAATTCTCCTAATTACTGTGAAAATCTGGGTCCTCATGTACCTCAATCCACAAAGAAGTGGAAAGAAATCTCTTGGGCCGAGGAGGAGCTAGAACAACCAACCTCCTCAGCTGCTTTTCCCTAAACAGGATAAAGCAAAAGAACGTGCTCACGTACGAGCACTTGAAACACCCAAGCACAGTCAGATGCTGCTTGACAATGGCCATGCAGCACAACTTGCTAGGAGCAGGCAGGTTGCTTTTGTAAAATCCTAACTCCAAGGTAGCTTAGTTTTAAAATCCCAGCTCCAAGAATTTACCAGCTCAACATAAGCATAGTTATTCCGATTCTCACTGGAAACACTAGATGGAGAGCACACAGAAACATGGAACTGTTGGCTTCACAAGTTCAACCTGTCCTGTCAAACACTACACTTTGTTGCTCCCATTAGACAGAAAAACCCCGGCTCCCACCCACCCTGGTGCAAATCAAGGCACAGGGACAACACCAGCCTGGCAGGGAGATCTTGCCAGATCCACCCGGCTCTCGCTCACAGATCTCTGTGTTGTACTGCACGTAGACAGCAGAATTTAGACAACGAGGCAGATCTGCACCCTGAGATCTTGGGAAGCGTTAACCCTCACTTTCTTTCACTCCCCAGGTTTTATTTTAAGCTACACAAGAGGAAGGAGCATCTCAAGAAGAGGGTGAGGAGCAGCCAGGCGAGGCGCGGGGCCGGCGGCCTCACCTCCTGGATGCGCCGGCGGGCCCGCTGCAGCACCTCCTCGTAGCCCTTCTGCCGCAGCTCGCTCAGGCTCTCGTAGTACTCCTCGGGGTCATCGGTCTCGGTGAAGAGCACCTGCGAGAGGATCTTCCAGCCGCACGTATCCAGGCTGTGCACCAGGTACACCTGCAGCTGGCCGCACAGCGCGTCCATCTCCTGCTCCGACAGCTCGGGCGCCCCGAACAGCACGCTCCACATGCCCGAGGGCTCCTCGGGGAAGGCGGGCAGGTAGGGCTCCAGCTCCGAGCTCACGGAGCACAGCTGCTGGTGCACGGCCCGCAGGTCCTGGAAGGAGAAGAGGCCGGCCCAGCTGCACTCCTCCCCCGCGGGCTCCGCGTCGGCCGCCGCCGCCGCCTCCTCCCTGCCC